GAGATACATGATTTAATTTGTGACTAATAACATAGATTCAAAGTAAGATAAAAACTGAAAGAACCAAAAGGAGAAGCACATTTATAGTCACAGAGGGAGATTTTAACATCCTTTTCAGTAATTGGTAGAGAAGTAGGGAGAAATCATCCACAAAGAAATAACCAGAATAAATCTTTTGTGTATGGAAATTAAGAAGCACATTTGTAGTAAGGTGTGGTAGATGCCTGTAATTTCAGCTACTTGGGAGACTGAGCCAGGAGGAGTGAAAATTTCAGGCCAAGCTGGGCACATTGGTACACACCTATAATCCCAGCTACTCTGGAGGCTGAGGAAGTAGGTCTGTAAATTCAAGGCCAGTCTGGGCAACTTAGCAAGACCTTGTCTCCAAATAACAATAAAAATGGATGGGGATGTAGCTCAGTGGTAGAGTGCTTGGCTAGCCTGAGTGAGGTTCAAACTCTAGTAAACCAATCTGAGGGGAGCGGGGGAGGTGTGTGTGGGGGGGGCAGGGGGGAGATGTTTATAAATAATTCATGAGTCAAAGAAACCACATGGAAATTATAAAGTTTTTCAACTAAATGAAGACAGAAACCTAACATACAAGTTTGGTCTCCAGAGAAAGTCTAGATAGAAGACAGACTTTGATTTAAACAGTCAATGAGTGGTAACTGTAGATAAGTGGATGAATTCAACCAGGGAGTACACGTAGAAAAGAAGCAACAATAGAACACTAAGAAGTACCATATTTTAAAACATAGGCAAATAAAGAGGTAGTCCAGGGCAATAAGAAGGGATGATCAGAAAGTAGCTTGGAGACTTGGGCAAGCAAGTCTTGCCAAGGCCTCCATGTTTCAAAGGAGGCTTATGTTTTGGAGTGCTTTTCTCAATGTTTTCTAAATCCTCCTCTTTAACCAAGGCCAGATCTGGTCCTGTATGGAATCTGGTTACCACAAGTACTTCCCCTTGAAATTTTCTAAGTCTCACTGTTGTACCTGGGACAGTATAATTTCTCCCATTTGAGATAATTGCCAACACTCTACACCATCCTGGTTATATACTAAAAACCCTTAGAAGCTGTGGGACTTGTGCCTATGAAATTACCCTAGAACTGAAGAGTTGATCTCTCCCATTGGCTGAAGCACTATTTCTTTTACAATATGGCATATAATTGGGCTACCAGAATGGTGCTGGCACATTTAGGTGACTTTCTTGCACATTGTATTCCAGGAAACCTTGACTGTTGGGATTGAGTTGTTGGGGGACCTGTGCATGGATTCTTTCTGATCTGCGAGGGTATGGCAGTTCCTTATCCTATCTGTTTCCTGCAGGTTTTATATCTTTTGTCAGACCATGCCTGTTTCCTTTGAGGTATTTTGTTGTTGTTGTTGGTACTAAGGATTGAAACCAGGGCCTTGGCATACTAGGCAAGCACTCTATCACTGAACTATATCTCTAGTCCTTTTGATTTTTGAGATGATCTTGCTAAGTTGTCAAGACTGACCTTATATTTGCAATCCTCTGCCTCAGCCTCTAGAGTTGGGATTTCAGGAGGTCGTCACTGTACCTGTGTTGGGTTAGGCCTCAAATGGCTATAGTTTTTAGGTCTCTTGTTTAGGCTTCCAGCAGGCTGTTTTTTAGTGTGTAGTCAGGAGTAGGAACCAGCTATATTATGGTTAGTCAAAAACAGAAATACTCTGATTCAGCAAGTATACTCAAGGTTGTAAACTTCTGATCACACGCCCCCTTATGTAATGTGTTGGCAGTGTGGCTTCTTTGGCCCACATATAAAAAGGACCTATGGAAAATACTAGGGGTTAAAAAGGGGACAAAAATGGAACTGGTTGGGGGCTAGATGCGAAGCTGCAGGCTATCCCCACTTCTGAATAAAACATGTCTACTATCCTACTGTGTCTTACATCTTCTTCCACCTGCCAGGACCCTGAATCTGAGTGCCTTACATGACAATTGGTGTCGTTGTCAGGATGTTCTGCAAGGTAAGAGGGATCAACCCTGTCAGACAAGAGGGATTTGTGGCCACAGAGCAGCATGTACACTTGGTTGACAAGGTTCTATTAGCATGAACTTCTGTGTAGAGTTGGGATACAGTGAATGGGTTCCCTGTGAGCATAGAGAAGATCTGATTGTCCTGTAGTGAACAGGGACTGGGCAGAATGAAATATGAATTGAACCACAGAGCTCCTGAATCTGTTTCTTGGGTCTGAGCACCCTGTATAACAGGCTGGCCCTTTGAGACTGTTGTTCCGAAATGCTAGTGGGTTCTTCCAATGTCCTTGTTTCCAACTGATAGTGACATTGTGCTCTCCAGGTCTGGGCTTAATCTTGCTGATGGAGGAATGGATATTCCTTGCATAAAGGAAACCATTCTTCTTGTTCCACCCATGGACCTCTTGCCTGTCCTTCCTGGGTGTTTGCAAACTCTGAAAGAGATCAGTCTGGGAATGCAGTAATTATAGCTTAAAAAGCTTGAGAAGTTATGGTTGGAATATGTGTCCAATGCTTATGTTACAAAAGCCCAAATAAAAATATATGACCAGAAAATGAATTATTCTTTTCCTGGGTAGAACTTGCATTTTCTGTAATTATTGATGTAGTTAATTCACCTTGAGAGATTCACTGGAAGACAGTATTAATAGTGGCACAATGAATGCAGCATCATAAATAATGTAATCAGCATTAAATAATGGTATTAGGGAACTGCAGAAGCAAGATCTATATAGTTAAATACAAATAGGTTCCGAAGAGTCATTGCACTGTGAATCCTAACAACATTACTATTCTTATTGCAGTGGAAGATATGAAATTTGCATGTGACAAAAAGAACATAGACTATTTCCTAGTTTAGAGATTATGTCTGTTTATTAAGAATTATTGCATATACAGATGAGACAATAAACATATATCTCTTTTCTACTCATTTTTCTAAATCTTCACTGATAAACCACTCTACATGGGCTCATAGCTTTTGTAAATATTTTAAATTAAATTAGACAAGGCTTTGGGGGAAAAAAAAAGCCCTATGGTGGAACCTGATAAAAGAAGAGCAGAAATTAGGAGAAATCAGAAACCATGAGAATATATCTTAGAAACAGAGGAAGTTCAAAGAGATCAAATTAAAATAAGGAATGTAATGATATTGGGCTAAAGAAAGAAAGAAGCTTTTCTAAGGAAATTAATGCAGAACTATTTGGGGATAAAATGTTGTATTTGCAGCTTATTTATTTAATTTTTTAAAACTTTTTCTTTAAAGACTTTGAGGCACTATGGAAAGATCTTACTGGTACATATGAAAAAAGATAGACATGATCATGATTGAGAGAAAACAATTTAATCAGTAAACTTTAATGCCTGTTAGCTAATCCTGAAGCTGAAGTTCTGGAAATATGACATGCTACAGAGCTGAAAGGAACAGGTAATTAGTATTCTCCTTCTTCTTCATCCTCTCCTTCAACAGAATCTATGCCAGGTTCCTCATAATCTATCTTTAGGGCAGCCATGTCCTCATGGGCCTCAGAAAACTCTCCTTCCTCAATCCCCTCACCCACATATCAGTGAACAAAAGCACATTTGGCATACATCAGATCAAACTTGTGATCCAGGAGAGCTGTAGCTTATCTTTAAACAGACCAGCAAAAACATATACACATATATGTATATGTGTGTACACACACAGACACAGAGAGGGAGGGAGAGGGAGAGGGAGGGGGAAATAAGCATATAGAAAAGGCAGAATTTAAACATAATTGATTAGATGCTGTATCACTGTAGTATTCTTTTAGCCATTGTACTTGCAAATTATAAAAATAAAAAGCTGGGGGGAGATGGGCAAGAAGGTAAAATACAGGAGGTATAGGTATATATTTTGTTTTTCTGGAATAAGATCCCAACAAAGATGAATGTAATGGTATAACAGTACAAACAGACTAGCACCAACATGGTGTTCATCATTTTCTTAGACTGTAGGAAAGAAGTTATGGGGGACTATAGACAAGTAAGTAAGTATGGGTGTGGGAAGTTCAGGGAATACTAGGTGATCTTAATACTCTTCATGAAGTAAGAAAAGAAGAATAGCAATAGCTTGGTGGCATAAAGATTGTGAAGAGTTGGAATCATTTTCTGTGAGATATGACAAAGGAAGCTGTTTTAGTCAGCTTTTCTTCTGCTGGGATCAAAAGACCTGATAAGAACAATTTTAGAGGAGGAAAAGTTTATTTAAGGCTCACAGTTTCAGAGGTCTCAGTCCATATGCAGCAGGCTCCATTGCTCTGGGCCCAAGGTGAGGCAGATCATTATGATGGAAGAGTGTGGTGGAAGAAAGTGGCTCAGGACATGGCACCAGAAAGTAGAGAGCACCACTCACCATAGGCAAAATCTATACTCCAAAGGCTTGCTCCCAATGACTTACCTCCTCTAGCCACATACTACCTGCCTATTGTTACCACCTAGTTAATCCATTCAAACAGACTAATACATTGATTAGGTTAAGGCTTTCAAATCTATTTGTTTTACCTCTAAACATTTTTTGCGATGTCTCACACATGAGATTTTGGAAGATATCACATATCCAAAACATAACAGAAGCTGACCAGGGATACTGTAAAATATTTCACAGGACACAGCTGAAGTGCTGCTTGGAGTGTGGAAACTACTCCTTTTTTTTTGGCTTCTATGAGCATTCCAAGTGTATCTTCTGTCATAGAACATAATATGCCCCCCCCCCCCGCCGCCCTCAAAAAAAGAACATAGTCCAGTTGTTTTATCACTCTACTTCTACTAGACAATGAGTTTGAATTAAGGGGGCCTAACTTTCATTTTTGAGTTTCTATAACAAGCACAGTACCTGGTATATAGTAAGCATTCAATGAATATTTATTAAAAAATGATTGTGCATATAACTTCTAAAAATGTAAGTTTTTATTGATTTCTTCTTAGCTGCTGGGTTAACCACTTCTCTTTCATGCTCCCATAGCAACATCTGTGTGTGTAACACCCATTACAAATCTTGGATCAGAAAATACCAGATCTCAGCTGAACAGTTAAGATTTTATGTTTGATTTCCAAAGGCTTTATTTTCTGATTTTAACAAATACTTTTAAAAAGCAAATTTAACAATATTACTATCTGTAATCAACATAAGATAAAGTGCTCAATAATCTAAATAAACAGTATTCTGGATAAAATCCGGGGGGTGGGGGGGATATGGTTTTACACTTTAAAAGACCCAGTACAGTCCCTTTCTTATTTACTTCTGTCAGAGTGTTCAAAATGTAAAGAATGCTCCCCATGCCACTGGAGGGAAGTTTCCAAACAGATTTACCTTTACTTAAAAGTTGAAGAATTGAGTTCAGGTGACTTTTTATGAAAACAATTCAGGTGACCAAGTACTTTTAGTATCAGAAACTGAAGATGGAAGGCAATATTTGACTTCTGAAAAACAATCAAGTCCAAGAATTGACTCTTTGGAAATCCAGCCTGACTGTTTACAGTTATATTTAGGAGTTTTCTGTTTTGCAACTATTTCTGTAGACATATTCTTAAACTTTTTCTTGACTAAAAATACATCAGTTCTTTGCTTGACTTGCTTTAGTTTCTTTCTTGGTAATTCTCTTTGATCAGGAGAATTATGGGCAGTAAAGCACTTCTTTAGACCTATGACTTGGAATCCAAGCGAATCTTTTTTTGTGGTAGGAGGGACCCATTCCTCAATATCAGTTTCAAGACACTCAGAAATACTACAATTGCTGAACATCTCCGGGCTTCTGAATTTCTGGCTATGTGTTTTCATGTGTTTTGAGCAGCTTGGGTTGGCTGGCTGTTTGTCATTTTCAGGAGAAATCCTTATTTTTTTATGGTTAGCATCAAGATCTGAATAAAAGGCAGGCAATTTTTTGAAAGCTTCATCTATCCCATTAATTTTTTGGTGGAATCTTGCAATTGGAGTTGACTGTGAACATGGAACAAAGTCTTGGCTCTCTTCAAGGTCACATTCTGAATCTGACTGAAAATGAGGTGGAGGAGAGTATGTTCTTAGATACTTAGAGGTAGATAGGCTTTGCAAGGATGATTTTTGTGAAGTTTTGCTGGAATTGTCAGAAAGTGATCTAACTGAAAAATCAGGCTCTGCAAGATGATTTTCTGTCAAGGATGTTTCCCACTGTAACAAAATATCCTGTGGTTTTTTGATAATTTCTGTTGCAATGGCCACATCTTTAGCAATATCATCAAAGAGATCAGCAGAAGCATTGTAGCTATCTTCATGATCAGAATAGCTTTGTGTTAAGTTATTATCGATATGTCCAAAAGGCATTTCTTTCAATGTATTTGTACTTGGACTATTACAAAGAGTTTCTAAAGAATATGTTAGTTTCTTACAAATTGTAAAACTGTCACCTTGATTCTTTGGCGACCTATAAAATTGTTTGTTTCCTAATATGCAAACATCAGAAATATCATTGTACTTTCTAGAACATGGAGCTGTCAACTCTTCATTCATTTCTGAAAGTGACTTTTCTCCACTAAAATATTTGACACTGAGACAAAACTGGTCATTCTCTGAAGTACTGGGCCTAAGTGAAATTTCATCCTTATGTGGTAGAATCCTGATAGTCTTTTTAACTGTTGTTTCTAAATCTTTTGAAGATGGAAACAGAGTTGAAAGATAAGGGTCTGGGAGAAAATATTCTGAAATATCCCTTCCATTATTGCCTATAGAGACAACCTCTGCTGTGTTATCTGATTTTGACTCCTTTTGAATAACAGGACTTAGATTTGCTTCACAGCTGGAAAAGAAGTTATCTTTGCTACAGTGTGTTTTGACTTTAGCTTGTGATGATCTTAAAACTATAGGTGGTGAATACAGAGCTTCAGCAGTTCTCTGGGGAGTCACACATAACCTGTTGTGGTCTGCAAGGAATTTACTGATGTCATTATCTACATCATTTTTCTTTTTCCTGGCATCTGTTTGGGATATAGCAATCTCAGTTTCAATAACTGCTAGAAATTTGTTCAGGCTTTCAGAGAATGGCAGATCATCCCAAATCATAGGGTCATAATCATGGGAATTGCTAGTTCTCTCCCCAGTTCTAAATGATAAAGATGGACAATATGCAGATATTTCTTGAAGGCTGGTCGTGGTATTTACATCATGATGTGGATAACATTTAATCTCACTTTGAGAATAACTATTGTTAATTTTCACTGGACTATGGAAGGATTCTGCATTATTTGACTCAAGTGGCTCTTGAATTTTCAAAGGAAATAAATTAAAGTCAGTAACTCTAATTTCATGATGATTGCTATGAATTGTACTCGGTTGATTAGCTTGTAAGCCAAGTTCCTCATCCAACTTTTCTGTTGTACTCTTTTTATCCATATATGAAATGAGGCTCCACGAACCCTGAACGGGATCACGGCAACTGCTAGAACCAGTAACATTTGCAAAGGAGATGCACTTTCTGTTTTGATGAAGAGAACTAATGGCCATTGTTTGTTCTGAAGCTGACAAATCATCATTATCTATTAGTGGTGAAACAATGGAAGTGAGTTCAAGTGATGGCTGCCAGAATCTTGAAAAATCATCTTGGCTGTGGAGCTCCGAAAAACAGGAAGTGCTTTCAGAGCCATTTATACTGCTGAGATCACTATTTGAATGATCTAAAGCAAGTAAGTGACTATTAGGTTCCTGGAAGGCACAGTGAAGTTTCCTGAAATTGGAAGTCTGCAAAAGCTGCTGAAAGTAGTCAATGACAGTAAAGCCTGCAACATGGGGGTTTGGTAGAAGAATCTGACAAGCTACTAGTGCTCTGACTTCTCTTCTGTGGCCATGGCAATGTGGTAAGAAGTTATTAGAACCTGAACCATTTCCATATTGTTTTTCAAAATTCTGTGAAAGAAGTAAATAAATTAAAATGAAAAGAAAATGTTGCTCCTTTGATCCAAAAAATAAACAGGAATTTAAAAGGTTAAAGCAGATACAACTATAACCCTTACCCCCTCTAATTTCACTTCCTTTAGTGTTCCAGGCAGAATGGCATATACAAAAGGAAATACACTTTGGAATAGAGAGACTTTTCTTCAAATCTTGGTTCCAGTATTTACTAAGTAGTGTTAGAGCTTTGAGCAATTTATTTAACCTCCCTGAGCCTTAGTTTTCTCATTTTTTAAACAAGAATAAAAATGGAGAATTGCTGTTTAGCATGAGTTGCTTAATAAAGGTTAGCTGCCATTATATTTGGGAGAGAAAGAAAGAGGAAGAAAAGAGAACCAAACCCAAGATTTTAACAAAGTAAAGCTCTGTATCACTTGGTTTCACTTTTCTGTTTTTTTTTTTTTTTTTCTCACTGTTCAGCTATGGACTGCTCTATTCCTTCTTTTAAAATTCTGATTCTCGTGTGGACAAAATTCTTTATTCCCTTCAGTGTACATAAGACAGTAAACTACTCCTTTAGAGTCAGTACATTCTTTTATTCCTTCTACAGGTTCTTTTATAACTACAGTTGTACCATATAACTTGAGCAAATTTTGGAGAGTGAAATAAATATAAAATATCTGAGTTTTTAAAATTCATAATAAATTCCTAGTTTTAAAGTTCAGAAAGCATTTGAACTGGGCTTTTCTGACATTTGAAAGAGGAAGTTGTGACATATGATGTTTAGACAGATCTTCTATATGCTATATTTACACAGTATAAAGTGCTTCTACAGGCCTTCAAATTTATATATAACTTCTAAAAACTATTTAGAAAATTCAAATCATTTCATTACAATGGGAATGCTAACAAAACTCTAAAAAGAAAACTAGTATCCATTACCGTCACTCCAAAAATAAAGCTTTGTCCGACAAAACAAGTTTCAACAGCTTTAGTTAATAGGTTCTGAGTTATATCACTGCCCAGTGTTTCTGGGATTTTATTAGGATCCTGAATATACCTAGAAAGAAAATAAAAAATGTGAAGAACTTGAAAATTCTAATTTGCAATAACATTAGTAGACATAATTAGTTTGAAAATGTGGCAGGAAACTTTTCAGTTACATACAGAAAAAGAAAGTAGCTTTATAAGCTAAGCATTTTATTCCCTCTAGTTTTCTCATAACATAGACAAAATAAAAACCCTACAAAACTCCAATGTATCCAGTGTGAATAAAACACATACTTGTCTAATCACCAGGCCCAGCAATTATACTAGGAAAAAATAGAGGCAACAGTGTGTGTGGGGGGGTAGCAGTCTTTCCTCTTCCCTAACAATTCTGGCTATCGTCCCTGTAGTGTCCCTTTTTCTAAATCAGTTTGCCCTCAACTACAAAACATGGAATAGCTTTCTTCTGTCAAGTGACTTGGGGGAGGGGAAGCAGAAGGTCAAATGTTCAATTGCTTACACAAATCTGCCATTTTCATGTTTTTTTTTTTTTAGATTTATACAGATGAAATTATAAAGCAAATGAAAGAAATGACAAAATTTCAACTTCTGATACTCCCTTAAACAGTTTCTCTTGCCTCAGGGATCCTCAAACACCTGAATGTGAACCTCAGTCTGGATCATCTTTCAGTTTGAAATGATTTTACTTTCTTATCTAAGTTTCTGTATCTTGGATTAGTTTTCTAACTTAATATTTTAATAATTATAGCTTAGTTACCCTGAATGAAAGAAGCTTGGTATAACATTAACATGATACATACTCATGAGATAAGTATTTTCCTTTTCTCACGTGATTATCATTTAAGGAAACTGAAGATCTGAGGTTAAAAGACTATCTTTTTTGGGGGTACTAGGAATTGAACTCAGGGATACTCAACCAGTGAGCCACATTCCAAGCCCTGTTTTGTATTTTATTTAGAGACAGGTCTCACTGAGTTGCTTAGTGCCTTGCTTTTGTTGAGGCTGGCTTTGAATTCGTGATCCTCCTGCCTCAGTCTCCCAAGCTGCTGGGATTACAGGTGTGCGCCACCACACCAGGCTATCTTTTTACTAAATGTATCTCACCTTAAAACACTTATCTTCAAATTTGCATACTAAAGGAGCAGTCAGAAAAAAGAATGCTTTAAATATTCTTACCTGTGTAAACCAGTGGCAGTCAGACCAAAAAATGTGTCTAAGCAGCTTCCAAATACAGTAATAGCAAATAATTTATTTGATTCTGCAACTTTCAAAGAGAGTTTATATCTGTAGCTGGCATTTTCAGCTTCACCAGTGGAGCCACATTTTGGACAACTAGATCTAAAGAGTAGGAAAAAAAGTATAGAAATTTTCATTAAATTTTTTTTATATTACAAAAACCAAGAAAAGTAAAAATTTAAATTATAGTTCTCATAGAAATACTCCTAGTAATTTACATTCTTCTTAAACTATTTATGATCAACTTGTTTTGAATTTCTCTGTTCCTAATAGCTAGCTTTGCTAATTCAAATTAAGTATCTCCAAACTGACAGAAATGCATGCCAAACACAGCAAAGTAATGAATAACTGTGTGTGCATGCATGAGAGAGGATGAGACTAACATGTACTCTTTAAATATTTATACCCAAAGTACTTAGCTAATTACATTCTTCTTACCATTATAAAAATTACTATCTTTAATCCATTGGAATATATTGAGAATTGATCAGATTACAAAAATTATATATAAAAAAACCATGTGATTTAACTTGTTTTCAAGACAATGTGCAACTGTGGCCAAATACTTTTTAGTCAAAAAGTATACATAAAGTGTATTGCTGTCTGTTCTTGGGATATTATATTCCTGAAATCTGGAGTACCTTATTTGTAAAATCCAGGCCTGAGGAAAGATAAAATGAGATAAATTTAAAAAAAAAAAGAGCATAGTATAAATCTTGCCAAACTAATGTATTGGTCTGCTTTCCCACTGTGGTGCTTATTGTCACTTCTACTTAGCATTTCCCTCTTTTCTAGTTTAAGATAATATAATTCTGATTTCCATTTTTCATGTTCTTAATTTAGGAAAACTGATCCTTTAAAACATATTATGGTAATGGATAATACTACAACTTTGTTTTTTCTTCATGTTGCTAGTGATCTGTTTTAAAATAGACTGGCAAAGTGCAAAAAGAAAGTAATGTCAGCCACTAGAGGGAGTATAAAATCCTTATTTCTCAAAGTAACTTCCAAAAAGCTGTCACATAAGGTGAATTTTGGATATACTATCATAGATTGGTGTTAATTATTATTTTTGTCATACCAAGGATAGATCTGTACTAATCAATTCATGTAATCATACTGAAATATTCTGGACTCTTGTGCTCTATGCTGGTCATAGAAAAAACAGACTCACTTGGGGGATAAAACCATTTCTCATTAATACCAACCTCTAGTGAAATGAACCGTTTCAAATATGCATTAAAATTTTTTAAAGGTTATGCATTAATAATGCATTAAGGTCTAATGTAAAATTCCTAGTAAATCTTTGAATAATTAACATAATGTTTTACACTACAATGCATAATACCTATATTTATTAATTAAAATACTTAACTGACAAAGATTGAATATATTCAAGGTATACAATATGATGATTTGAAATACATATGATTACCACAATCAAATGAACACATCCATCCTAATCCATACTGTACATTAAACCACAGAACTTGTTCATCTTATATCTTTTCGTTAATCTATTAAAAATAATAAACCCACTACATGGTTGGTTAGAACATATTTTCATAATACATAACTGTCTATTCCCAAATTTAAAAAAGTGAGAAGAGACAGGCAGTGTTTTACATTTTGCAAATCTCTTTAAAATCTGGCTTAATAAAAAGGTAGCTGGATTCACATGTTCCACTTCTCTGCTCTATCTCCTGTGATATCACAGGTCACCTGGCCTTTGGTAAATTCCACTGTACACATAGGAGAGTGAAAAAGGCAAATAATGCCTTAGAATTACTATGAAAATAGTTCTGAACTCGAAGAAGCCTCTGAGCAGATCTATCTGAAATGACTACTGTAGTTTTAATCCTTTTTGTTTGGTCCAAACTAAAATACCAAGTTTCATTATTTTCCTAGTGTACTTATATTTAGCCCAGAAGTAGAATTTATGAGATCGGTAAATCTGTTTTCTTAGCTTTGAAATCCTCTGAAAATCTGATTAAAGCAATTGACTTTTTCTCTTAGAAAAAAAATTTACAGTCAATTACACAATATTTTACATATCTTGGACACTGAAGGATGCATCCACACCTACAATTTATTTACATTCCAGGTTAAGAACATCCAGACTATGCGATTATCACACAATGTCCCTTATAGATCCAGACTACACTAAATACTACAAAGTAATAAAAAAATTGTTTAAAAAAGTATCCCTAAAGTGTAAAGCACTGAGTTCCATCCTCAGTACCACGTTAAAAAAAAATATCCCTAAGGCTTCTACACACTATATCCCCCCAAAGAAAACTATGATCTATGTGTGGAACTCAATTTGACTTGCTTAATTAAATAAATAATACTAACTTTTTTGGGTGGTTGGGGATGGTGATGAGGAGAATAGATAGAGATAGACGAAAGGGATTATGCATCCCCTTAAGCCAATAGGCAATTTGCATATTTGGGCTGGATGGATAGCTTATATTGATAAATCCCCTCCCCTTGCTCATAATTTTGGGATAGTACACAAACTCTATCAATTCCCCAACATATACAAAGACACCCCCCCCCACACACACACATTATGACTGAGCTATGCCTTCCCCAGCCCCAATAGTTTTTATATTTGTATGTTTATGTTTTTATATCAGGAAATCCTTTTCCAACAAAAATATAACTTGGAACCCTAATGAGAATGAAAATGAATGTCTTATTGAAACTAAGGTAAAGGTTCCAGATCCCAACCTACTAGTACTCAATACTATCCACCATTGCTAGTTTAATCCCTGTCTCCTTCAAGAAGCACCTCCATAGAACTTCAGGTCTCTGAAGAATAGTTTTACAACCCATTTAATATTGGAAGTTTAAAATAGAAAAAAGAAAGTTAACTCCATAAAACACAAAACACCTATTATGGCTATCAGCACTAAGAATTTGAGGTCAAATAAAATCTTTGGGAAGCAGTCTCTTCTGTTTCCTATGTTGGCTGACTTCAAGTGAGAAAAAAAAGAAAAAAGAAAAGGCAGAAACAAAATTAGAGAAGAAAAAAAAGTAGCAGATATTATGGGAGTAGATTCTTTGGTTCTGTAATATTGCCAATGTAATATGTATAGAGAACAAGTAATTGTTCCATAATCATCTACATTTCCACAGGCAAGGACCAAATGCTGTGGTGTTTGTTGTAACTCAATGGTTCAGTCAGAGCTCTTTTCCCAGCTCTGGGAAAAAGAAGGGGAGGTATCATTCTGGAGAAAAATTCCACTGCTAATCTGGAGGTAATATGTTGATTATGAGTGAAGACAGCAGTCAGATAGTTTAGACTTAAATGTTTCTGACTAGCTGGATGTGTGGGCAGACTGCTTAACTTTTCTAAGTTTTAGTTGTTTCCTTTTAAACTGGCATTAACAATAGCATCTACTTCATAGTCTTTTGTATTAAAAAGTCTCCAAAGCTCCTAGCACAGTGCCTGGCACATAATAAACATTCATGTATGTTATATATTATCACCAGTCTAAAGAGGTAACAATGGCATTATTATTTAACCTACATTTTTGAAGATTATCATATTTTATATAATTATTTATATTATATTATACATATATTACTAATTATGTATCAAATGTTCTATGCATGTTATGTATATATCTTACTAGATCCTTGTAAGAACCGTATAAGACAGCTGTTAACTTTCCCCATTTTTGGGCTCAGATAATTTAAGTGACTTGCCCAAGGCCATGGCAGTTCAAGTGGCCAGGTTGGGATTTGAATCCAGGCAGTCTGGCTCCACAGAATCATGCTTTTAATCACCATGATATACTGCAATAGGTAATGTATACTTACAGTGGACTTTTTACAATAATGACTAATATTTTGGAGATCCTAATATGTCATGAAATATAATAGGAGATTGCTGTGCATTATCTCTATAAATAATTAGATCCACAGAAGTTAAATATTTTGACCAAAGTCATACAATTAGTAAGTGTCAGAGCCTATCTGCTCACTTGTGTTTTCTGAAGCTTGAAATTGTTCCATTATACCATGCTGCTTCTAATCCATCTCGATAAGACAAATAGCCCATGGCTTTTAGTTGTTTCAAATGATAGTTAGGAACCTGAAAATGAGTGAACCTAAGATAATGTAGGCACTATTATGCTGCCATTTATTCATTTATTTAACAAACATTTGTTGAGCATTTTCTATGAACTAAGCCCCAGGCTGGATGCCAAGGATTTAATGAAGAATCACACAAACAGGGTCTTTCTCTCAGAGCTTACATATGAGAACTTGCGTGGTTAAATAAAGGAATAGTGGTAACTATGCAAGGACAACCTTAATCCTAAATGTGAGTTAGAACTGCTAATCCTTCTCCCCTTCCCCGTTTGATGTTAACTGGAGAAAAATACTAGTTAAGAATATTGCTGGCACAAAGATCAGTAAAGCAGAGGCAGGGGAACAGGGGAGATTAGAGGGCATTATGGTTTAGATATTAAGTGTCTATGGAGAGCAGTGACTTGAATCATGAGCTCTGACTGCCTCAGAATTGTGGCTGTGCTTTGCTCTGGGAACTTTCTGTGCAAAGACACAGGACCAGATTGCTCAGGAATGAGGGTAAAGCCCTGCCTGAGCAAGTTATGTGCAAAGGTATGAAACAATAATAGTGTCTGACTTTGAGCTCAGACACCAGCTGCTGGGAATAGAGAATTCTGAGCATAACAAGATAACCACAATATCTTGCAAGTGCTACAACTTTCAAGCCTGTCTGCTTTGCAGAAACTCTGGACAACTGGCTTCATGGGTATAGCAGGAAATAACAGGATGTTCCTAGCACTGCAATAGTAGAATAGCTACAAAAATGTTTCTAGTTCTGTAACTTTTTAGTGCACAAAGAATATTAACTTTCTTATTGTGAGACCCTATATAATAAATGCGCTGAGCTAGCTCTGGGTCACCGTTCTTCCATCAGAGATTATTGTCCCACCTGGTCCCAGCTTTCTCTCTATAAATATTTGTATCTTTCTTAATCCTCCATTGCCCCTTGCCAGTTTCTAGGGTTTGGCCGTGCAGGTCCCAGCAGGTGTCTCCCAAAAGCTCATGTATGAGATAATGTAAGAAGGTCTAGAAGTAAAATCATCAGGCCATGAGAGCCATAATCCAATCAGTGAATTGATTCTCAAATAGTGATTAATTTAGTGGTAACTGAAAGCAGGTAGGGTGTGGCTTGAGGAGGTGTGTCACTGGGGGCATGCCTTTGGGTTTATATTTTGTTGTGGTGAAGAGAACTCTTTCTTTGTGCTTCCTGGAATCATGCCTTGAGTTGCTTTTCTCTGTTATGGTGGTATGCCTCACTAAAGACCCCAAAGAATGGAGCCAGCCATCTTTGGACTAAGACCTCTATAACGATGAGCCCCCAAATAAACTTTTCCTCCTCTAATTTTTCTAGTCAGGTCTTTTGATCATAGCAGCAAAAAAATCTGACTAAAATGAGGCAGGGAGGTAAGGGCAAGTACTGAGGAATGAAGTGAAGCAAATCAGAGTCCACATATTTATAATCATATCAAAATTAATCTAATGTTGCTTATAGCTAATATGAACCAAGAAAAATTAATTAAAAAAAGAATGTTGTTGACACACTATTTGTACTTATATACTACTAAATACTTACTAGATATATTAATCTTTTCTCCAGTCAGAGAGAGTATTTTTGAAGAACTCCAAACCTAACTTTTCTTTTTTAAAGATGGACACAATATCTTTATTTATATATGTGGCACTGAGGATCAAACCCAGTGCCTCACATGTGCTAGGCAAGTGCTCTACCGCTGAGCTATAATCCCAGCCCCTCCAAACCTAACTTGTCAATTCTACTTTATAAAGATCAGAGGAGGATCTTAGATTCTCAGCTATACTTGGTCTGCAGTTGAATATGATAAAGACTTTTTGTGCCAAACACCATTCTAGTGCTAAATAATAAAAATCACTACAGGTTGAACATTCCTAATCTGTAAATCTGAAATCCAAAATTCTCCAAAAGCTGAAATTTTTGAGTACTGACATGGCATTCACAAAGTTCTGGATTTTGGAGCATTTTGGATTTCAGATTTTTGGATTAGGATACTCAACTAGTAAAGTCTATGTAAATATCCTCAAATCTAAGACACTCCAAAATCTGAAATACTTCAGGTTCCAAGCATTTCAGATAAAGGACACTTAACATGTATAACATAGTGTCTATTTTCAAGGTTTTTACATATATGTATTAAATAATTTAAGAGTCATACAAAAACAAACAAAAAAACCTCTTACTTAATACCCAGGGATATTCTAAGAAGTAGGCTTTTATACCAGGATTGTTACTTGCTTCCTGAGAAGTTATTTTTCTTCCCCCTGAGGTAGGTACTTAGTAAAGACTTCAAAGTGACTTGAAATTTCTCTCTAGAAAGTGGATTACTGGCCAGTTCTATTCTGGGATTTACAGCAGAACCAAACTCTGAGAATCCCTGAGAGAATCTAATGTCCTCATATGATGAATTTAGTTTTTATTTATCCTTGCACCATAGAAGAAGGTTTATATTGTGTACTGATATATTTCTTCTCTCGTGCTTAGAGGCTTTATTTTTACCTTTTGGAGACAAAGATTATCCGAGAGAAGCACATTTGACATGATGGATATATAAAACTCGAATTCTGAAGAGCAAGTACTGAGCCAAGAAGAAATTTTCTTCTTCTATTCATGCGTTCACACTGTGGCCTACAAAACAAAATAGCCACAGGGATGAAGATAGGTATTCCTTGGTTTCATTATTTTCTTAGGCACATGACAATCTCTTTAAGAATAAAGTAGTGTGTGTGGTATCGATATAAGGGAATGGAAGAAAAAAGGTCACACAAAAAATGCATTATTTTTAAAACCTGATTCCTTGACAGTGCAACAAATGATGGAATATGGCATCTTCCTTTCTTATGTCCTCCAAAATCCAGATCCAGATGGTCCAGATGGCATCCACCAGTGGGCTAAGGGAAATAAAATAGGGCAAATGTTTATCCTGAAAATGCTGCTTAAAATCTTGCTATTTAGAATGAAGCTTCAAATCCTTACAACAGTCAGATTGTCTAGCCCTTTCCCAACTCCCTGAGCTCACTTTGTATCATTCTCCTCCTTAATCACTGCATTTCAAGCCATGCTGACCTGCTTTCTGTTCCTCATATATACAAAATAATTTGACTTCTCAAGCTTTTGTGCTTATTGTTCTCTGTCTAGAATGTTCTTCCATAGGACTTAGCATAGCTAGCTCCTTTGCTTCAACTTTAATGTGATCCCCTCTGGAGCCCTACCTTATATCAAGTAGGCACTGCCCACTGCCTCCCTTAGTTTCCATCCTCCCTTTAAAAAAAAAAAATTTTTTTTTAAGTTGTAGATGGATATAATATCTTTATTTTTATTTATTTATTTTTATGTGGTGCTGAGGATCGAACCCAGGGCCTCACTTGTGTGAGGCAAGCACTCTACCACTGAGCTACAATCCCAGCCTGATATCATATTATCCTTCAAAGTACCAATCATGTTCTATAATTATTCTATATATGCATTTACTTACTTTTGTTCTACCTACCACTAATCTGAAAGTTAAAGACAGGTATCTAATCTCCCTAATGCCTTTTTTCTTGATTTTCTTCCTTAATATTTATGTGCTAGTAGATTATACAAAAAAAATAGTCTTAAGTTGTGTTCCTTGCCTCTTGCCCCAATGGGATGTTTCCTATTTCTGTGCCTTTGTGTTTTTTACTCTTCTCTCTGCCTAAAACCTAAAAAGGTCTTTCATTTTCCTGTTTAATGCTACCTTTTGAGATTCTTCTCAGTGGTTTTCTTCTCCAGGAAGCTTTCCCTGATTAAGAGATCCTACTTTTTTTTTTTTAATATATATCACTCACTACATCACAGTAAATTGATCTGTTTCATATGTTCTTTTCCAGAACCATAAGGATCATCTTTTTAGATATCCAATACTAAGTTCAAAAATTGTCAATGAATTTTAGTTATTAACATTCTTTCAATTCTCAGCTTTCCTATTCCTCAGTGACATATATCATTTAAATATAAAATAAAAATTTTCCAAATTATAAAATTATTTTTAAAAATCCTATATACATATTAAATTATAAGAAATTATTAAAAGTCATACATATATTAGATACCCTATTTGTATGTGAAATATACACAATAGTTTTACATTATTGTACCTTAGTATTTATTTTAATTATTATTTAAATTTACTGTCACTTCTAATTTTTTAAAAAATTGTGGCCATATTGTGACCACAGAATATTTTCTTTAGGGCTTTACAACAGAATTTTATATTGTGCCACCCCTATGTGGATATTTACCAGACAATATTCTTATACAATTGCTATCAAATCCAAACTTCAGGAAATGGATTAAACTTATTAAGACACAGTGTTAAGGGCTGTGGATTTAAACAATTAGAAATAATAATCTCTGTCCTAAAAAGTTTACTATATAGTTAGGCAGACGATTTGCCAATACATGCAAAACTTAAATAAACATGAAATTTTGGGATTAACTTCTTTTTTTTTTTTAAGAGAGAGGAGAGAGAGAGAGAGAGAGAGAGAGAGAGAGAGAGAGAGAATTTTTTAAAATATTTATTTCTTTTAGTTATTGGTGGACACAACATCTTTGTTTGTATGTGGTGCTGAGGATCGAACCCGGGCCTCACGCATGCCAGGCGAGCGCGATACCGCTTGAGCCACATCCCCAGCCCGCTTTGGGATTAACTTCTAAATTCATTATATAAGCACCAACTGTTACATTTTTTTAAAGAAAAGTTGGTTAAATTGTCTTTATTTAAGCATTTATTGTCCTCTAGTGGATGAAATAAGTATGTCCATAAAAACCCATACATTATTGGCAAAATTTGACTAAAGTGAAAAAGGTCAATTCATTATTTTTACTATTTGTGTTTCATTTGGCAAACCACAGCAATGGCAAAGACTTCCCATTCATTGTATAGTGGACAGTAATACAATACTGTTTAAGGAGTTAACTGTTAGTTATTTTCTTATTTCCTTCATGTTATTTGTCACTTAATTTCTCTCTGTCTTTACTGTCTGACTTGCAGTATGGTGAACGCATATTTGATAGATAACTGAACGAAGTGACAGGAATGAAAGTATTAAAGTTAAGAAAACATTATGATAGACTTGGGAACAATTTCATATGTGGTATATCCTATAATTTATCTTTTTTCTCAATTTTATTGGGAAGAATGATATAGTAGTACATTTCTCTCAGCTCCATCACAGTCAGCAAACCATTTTCCAATTTAGTAAGCTCAATATATTTACTTATCAGTTATTTGTTGTGCAGCTGGTAAATGCCAACTGTTGATAGCATTAGTGAGGGACAAACAGACAGCTTTCCTAGTTACTAGTTAGTTATAGTCCAGGACAAGAGACAAACAGCTTTACAGTGTGCACAGTGCTTTTATCTCATTATTTGATCTAATCAGAGAATTTAAGTAGCTAATTAAAGATTAGGATGCAGGTGGAATCAGGTCTGGAACTCACATCTCTAACAATTAATGCAGCAGTCTTTCTGGTTCACTGTACTGTGTGCTCAAGCATCACACTTAACTATTTGTTTTAAGGCTGCCCCAAAGATAAAGTTATTCTTTTAGAAAACTAGTTCCCAGATCTAATGACACAAAGACTAATTTTTCTTCCCTTCATTTCTCCCCAAATAGCTGGAAAGGGGTGTGGCTTAGTGCAGATCATTTGCCTAGAGTGCCTGATGCCCTAGGTTTGATCCCTAGTACTAAAAAACAAAACAAACCAAAAAACATAATAAATCAGAAACTGTTCATGCTTTACAAGAAAACCTTTGTCACCTTCTTCCTCTCAGATTTCCCCTTTTACAAGTCAAGATGCCTCATTATGGGAAGGGTGGCTACTTAGAATATTTTTCTTAACACTATCTAATGATCTTTTTCAAGGGCATATACTATGTTTTAATTTTTAAAAGAAGTCATAACAATTCTCTAAGAAATATTTTATGGACAATAACATGAAGATTCTAGAAAGGGAAGACAGGAGATCAACAATAAAATACACAAAAAGTAAAGAAACAAAACCTCCAGTGAAAGGTAAAATATTTTTTAAAACACTAACCAGGAAAATCTTAAGAAGTACAACATAGTGTGTCCATTCATTCCACCATTTATAACATTTATAACAGACATTTATAACAGGGATGGAGAGGGGACAGAGTTGGAGACAGAAAACACAAGCTCTTTTGTTCAAGGAATTTAAAATCTATTTGCTCAATGGATAACTATCAATGAAATGATACAAAGGTAAAAACAATATATGCAAGTTTCAGATTTCCATACTGCAACTGCTTACCTGAGAGCCAACTGTGTTTTGATATCTCACAGACATCTCAAAGTTTAATAGGTAACAACTGAATTTTTAATTTTCTTCTCAAACCTTTTTCCATGAAATTTTCTCAATCTCAGTAAATGGTAGTACTTTCTAACAAGCCAGTAAGGCCAGATAGCTAGGAGTAATCTTTCATTCTTTTCCTCATGTGCCAAATCAAACCATCAGTAGTCTTAGAATCTATTTCCATATTAGAAATCATCATTCACTTCCACCATGTATTCTGCCACCACCTTAATCCAAACCACCATCATCTCCTGCTTATGCTGCTGCATTAGTCATCTAACTGCATTATCTGCTTTCTACCCAATCTTCCAGACTCACCTTATTCAAGAGTCCTTCCTGAATAAGTTCCAGCAACACAGATCTTTTCTTAGGTTCCTGAACACAAAAATATCAAGTTTTTTTTTTTTGCTGCAGGGCTGTTGTGTATCTTATTCATTTCATTTTTAATCTTCCTCTCTTTCAAGGCTAGATAATTCTCATCTTTAAGGTCTCCACTGAAATATCAACTCCTTAGAAAGGACTTCCCAGACCATTTAAAAACCCATAGTTCCCCTGTTGTTTCCTTTCTTAAATCCATGGATAAAAGGTATATTTCATTGGGAAGGAATCCATCCTGTTCACCATTGTAACCCAATATCTAGCAGTTCTTGGCACAGAGGGAGATAGATAAAACTATCTTCAGCATGAGAAAATAATGACTGGGCACTCTGTGATCCAGTTTTGCAGAGTTAGGAAAGCCTGCCTGCCTTAAAAAAAAAAAAAAGTCCTTGCAAACTGAGAAATAAGGAATGAGTAAGAACATGCCAGTTGGGGATGGGTTTAGGTTTGGAAATAAGAGGGAGGGCTGTGCCTCTGATGAACATATGACACTCTAGGATTAGGGAGTAGCTCAATGATAGCACTTGCCTAGGCTGGATGAAGCCCTGGGCTTGATATCCAACAACAGTGAAAATAAATAAATAAAAGCATTTTGTATGGCTGATGCCTAGGGCCAGAGTTGGAAAATCACTGGGGCTGGAGAGGGAGGCAACGATAAGACAAGAAGGGGCTTGTAATCTATGTTAAGGAACACAAAAACATCAAAGAGTTTGATACTTAAGGAGTTTGGATTAAAAACTGCAGGCAAATAGGAGCGGCAGAAAGGTTTTAAATGGTCAAACTTGCAGCTCTCCTGCTCCTGGCTTTCCTGGCACCCGGGATCTCTGTAGCCCTCTGGCGGGTATTAAGGTCTGGCAATGTGGAGACTGGATTAAAAGGTACCAAGACTGAACGCAAAAGAAATACTTGGGAGGTTATTGTTATAACTACATAGCATAAGGGGTCGACCCAAATACCAGTGAATGTGGAGAAAAGAACAGAGCTTTGAGATATTCATGAAGCTGTTATTATTGGCTGGAAGTGAGAGATAGGGAAGAAATCTAGAAAACTTTTAAAAAGTCGAGACTTTGTCTCGGTTATCTCCAGTTTGAGCTCACCCTGTGTCTAGTTCGACAGCCCAGTGTTCGCAACAAACGTTCACATAGTGATCCCAGCGGCACGGTCTAAAGTCACTGACCCTTTTACTCTTGTACTGTCAAAGCTTCCCTTTACAGACAGGACTCCTGAAAAACAAACAACATAAAATGCAAGCCTCCTGGTCTCATCGACAATGACTTTAAGAGTCTCGGGAGACCTTGGAGTGCTTCCCCAAGAACCTCTTTCTCCAGCTCCTCACCTAATTCAAGACTGGGAGACAGCCAGGGCGACGCCGAAAGGCCGCAGTCCAGATAGACCCAACAACTCGCCAAACACCTTCTACTCGAATCTCCCGCGTCCTCTTCCGCCGGAAGTGACGTTTGATCAGTGGTTCCTCAGAGCCAATCAGAAAAGGCTGCGCCGAGGGTCACGATTAACCGCGAAATCCTGGGGGCATTTGGAAGCGACCATTTTTTGTCAAACTGGGGTAGAGATAAGGTTTGAAGGATGCTCTACCCCGACTGGTGAAGTAGTAGTACAGCCTGCAAAATTAGCTTCCGGGGAGACTGAACTAGCTTGTCGTAGGGACGCCGGAAACGGGAGGGAGTGGGTGGGAGCGCCCTCGGATTGGGGTCTGGCCTGGTGAGGAAGAGGGAATTGAAGCCGAGTGGATGGGGTTGGCGCTGCCGGGAAGACAGGAGGGGGCGCTGTTCGGAAGCGTAGCAGGACCTCCGGCGGAGGAAGGGAGACTACAGCGGCGGGAGGCGCAGCCTGGAGTGGGTTTCCTGGAGCTGAGAGAAGAAAGGGGGGCGTAACCAGCAAGGAGGGACCGAAACCTGGCTCGCTAAGGCATGGGGTTGCGGACAATACGGAGGTCTGGGGAGACCCTAGAACAGAGGGTCCCGTTAGGCGGGCATAATGAAGGTGAGATGCTAGGAGCGCAGTCTTTGGAGGCCTGAGCGGTCCGAAGCAGTGCTTTACTTCCTGCTACCTGAGTGACCCAGTTTCTTCATCTATGAGTGGGAATAAGAGTCGTACACTAGACAAGGAATTGCTGTGGTGGTTGAGTTAGATGCGTGCCATCATGTCTAGTGACATACTGGCATGCAGTCAGCCGTCCGTAAATTGTTATGGTAGCTATCTTTAAACATTAGTGGGATTTGCGGAGGAGGACTGGGAGTGTTGCAGAGGAACTAAGGTGGCCGGGGCAGGGTTTGGCGGTGACAATAAAGGCAGAGGTTACAGCGTGACCTGGAGAAGAGGTGGGCTTGGGGGGCACTGCAGATTGGGATGGGGTACAGACCCTGGCCTGATAAGGGCCGACTGGTGGTGTGACCTCAGTGAAGGTGGGCTCCAAGGAGAGGATGGCACGAGAGGGAAGTGGGGTGGAGGCGGCGCCCTCGGGGACAAGTGGTGGCGAGGCTGAGAAGCTGGCAGGCTTTGGGTTTCCCGGGGGAGGAGCCGGTCTGCAGCGGGCGGAGCTGCGGGCTGGGGCCGGGCTTAGGCTAAGCGCGGCTGCCCGTGTCCCTCTCGCCTTCACACCCGCGCTGCTGCCGCCAACCTGAGCCATGGGTTGCCCAGCCCTCCTGCTCTTGCTCCTGGTTTTCTTGGCACCCGGGACCTGTATAGACTCCCGGCGGGTACTAAGGACCCTCAGCAGCCTGCACTTGCCAACCAACCCCGCATCCCGGTCCTCTGTAGCCAAGAATTACTCAGTTTTTTATTTCCAACAGAAGGTAAGGGGGTGGGAGGGGGCGGGGAAGCTTCGAGTTCCCGAGTCCCAACCGCTGGGACCTCGGTCCGGTAGAGTCCGGGCATTGGAGCTCACTCTGAACTTCAGACTCCCTGATACCTAGGACTGTCCAGTCTTTGGTTTACACATTCCAGAGGATGGGCTCAAGTCCCCAAATTTAAAATTTCTCCTCCCACTACCAATAATTTAATACCATTCCTGGCATCCTTATTTTTCTGTCTTTGAAACAACGGAAACTTATTCTCTCACAGTCTGAAGTCCAAGTGCACCATCCTTTTCATTCAGTCTCTCTGTAATTGGCCACAGCAGTCACTTAAATTCCCCTAGCTCTTAGAGGGTTCCTCAATCTAAACTCCTTTGACTTCTAAATTCAAATTATTGAATGCCAACCCTGGTCCTTAGTCTTTGGTGACTGTCATCTTTTGCCCCAAGGCAGTCCCTAAATACAAGTTCTAATGTCTGTACCTATTAGATAATATAGAATATTAATGCAATCTAAAATGATAGCTTGTCATTTCAGGATCATCTCAAAGATGATTTTGTGGGCCTTTCATTAAGAGTTTTTGGCTGTCCCTGTTCCCTATCAGACTGAACACAAGGCCTGTGCCTGTAAAAGAAGTTATAGGCATATGGCAGGATTTGAGGTGGGTTTTGGGGTCACTGACTCTAATCTGTGACTTGAGTTTACAGTTCTAAGACAGGATTTATGAGTGCTTTTATGGTTGGCTTATGGCATTTGGTATTACCCCACAAGTCTAAATGGAAAAGTACATCCTATGTGAAATGACAGGGAATTCTAATGATTCTACATTTCCAGGAGCCTAAAGATAGGGATTAGAAGGAGTGCAAGGGTCTGATCTTGGCATTAGGAGTCAGACCAGGATTCTACCCTGGTAGCTCTGTGATCTTGGCAGGTTACAGTTTGTTGCTGAACTTATTTTCTTGATTTTCTGGGGTTATGGTAATGGTTAAATGGGAGCAGATGACATATCCCTAGCAGAGTAGCAAGTCTGAAGCAGGCACTTAATAAATGTATGGTTACTGACCCATCTGAATTGCATAGGAATTTAAAATAAAGGAATGGCATGAATTTGTAGAATAATTTATAAGCAAAAAATTTTAACACAGAAAATTGAATTTGGATTTAGGAAGAGAAAGTGTTTTAATTTTAGCAGAGATACCAGGAAACAAGAGTGTTTTTCTTGGGTAATGCCTTTAACTGTCTCTGACATAGCTTCCTCATTTGCAAATTGACAAGGACCACTGTGTCTAATACTTTACTGAGGAAAGTTAAGAGCTCCTTGGGGGAACTAGCTTAGAGGGAAACTAGTTGGGTGAAGCTTGTCATTTCAGGACATGAAGAAGAAGCCATGTTAGGTACTCCAGGGTGGCCTCCCCTGACTCTTTTATCTGGAGCTCTCTGTTTTATGTGTTTCATTAACATTATCACTCATGATAATCTTCATTCATCTTCAATTGGCTAATCCCCTCACATTTCAAGCACCTGGCCATGTCACTCACTAGTTAGATCCCAGCACAGGGCTCTTTACCCAGCCAAACTTTGCTCACTAGTTTATATTTAGTTTATACATTAGGGCAAAGATCCCACACATGTATTTATTACCATAATAATAAGTATCCTTATATCAACTCCAATTGAGCTTTTTATTTTTGAGAAAAAAATTCCATACATATTTATTGCATAATTGCACGTATAATAGTTGTCAATTTCAGGATCATAGATTTTTATATGGGACTGTGTAAATTCAACTTCAATTTTTTTTAGTAAAGCACATATACTTTTATATCTTTTAATAATAAACGTATAAGCCTCAATTTTCATTTAGGGTTTAACTTTTTCAAACTTTATAATGTTTCCTTTATCTATAATTATCTCATCTAGGTGACCATGCTAGTCCCAGAAGTCCTTATATACACATAAAGGATGTGGTTTTATGGAATGGTCTCTGTAAAAAGGCTTAGCTAATAGCTTTGTTTCTCTCCTCCTTAGAAATCCTTCATATCTTTGAATGCTTGCAGGATAAAGGCCAAATTCCTTGGCATGGATTCCATTGTTTCTCACCATATAACCTCTCTGGCCTTTCCAGCTTTCTGTCCTGCCATAGTCTCCTGCTTCTACTTGCAAACACATTTACTCTTTCAGTAACATAGAACACAGGCTTCAGTGAATTTTACTGTTTAGAAATTCTGTCTGGAATTCCACACTTCTTTTCCACTAGTTAAACTTATCCTTCTATCCCAGAGGAAATGTTACCTTTTCTGTCAAACCATGACTTCTTTAGGCCAGTTTAGATCATCTTATTTTAATCCTGCACACTTAGTGTTTTATACATGTCCTTCCTGCTAGATAGCACTCTTCAGGACCTACAAGAGCCTATCAAAAGTGTAAGCTTTTTCTGTTTCTGGTTTAGGAGGAGTGTTTGGGGAAGGGGCAGAGATGCCATGTTTAGTCACAAAGGTGCCAAGAAGAGTCCCTTAAACAGCCCAAGCAGCAGACCAAGGAGATGGATGAGGAGGCTTTCAAGCAGAAATAAAAAGAGGAAATGGATTTCCAGTTTTCCCAGCACCATTTGTTGAAGATGCTATCCTTCCTCCATTGCATGCTTTTAGCCCCTTTATCAAATATAAGATAGTTGTAGTTTTGTGGATTGGTTTCTGTGTCCTCTATTCTGTACCATTGGTCCACCATCCTGTTTTGGTACCAGTACCATGCTGTTTTTGTTACTATTGCTCTGAAGTATAGTTTGAAGTCTGGTATCGCTATACCGCCTGATTCACATTTCCTGCTTAGCATGATATCAAATCAGAGACACGCCATCTGATAGAAGAAAAAGTTGGCTACGATCTACATTCGGTTGGGTCGGGCTCCAAATTCCTCAATAGGACACCCATAGCACAAAAGTTAATAACTAGAATCAACGAATGGGACCTACTCAAACTAAAAAGTTTTTTCTCAGCAAAAGAAACAATAAGAGAGGTAAATAGGGAGCCTACACCCTGGGAACAAATCTTTACTCCTCACACTTCAGATAGAGCCCTAATATCCAGAGTATACAAAGAACTCAAAAAGTTAGACAATAAGAGAACAAACAACCCAATCAACAAATGGGCCAAGGACCTGAACAGACACTTCTCAGAGGAGGACATACAGTCAATCAACAAGTACATGAAAAAATGCTCACCATCTCTAGCAGTCAGAGAAATGCAAATCAAAACCACCCTAAGATACCATCTCACTCCAGTAAGATTGGCAGCCATTATGAAGTCAAACAACAACAAGTGCTGGCGAGGATGTGGGGAAAAGGGTACACTTGTACATTGCTGGTGGGACTGCAAATTGGTGCAGCCAATTTGGAAAGCAGTATGGAGATTTCTTGGAAAGCTGGGAATGGAGCCATCATTTGACCCAGCTATTCCCCTTCTCGGTCTATTCCCTAAAGACCTAAAAAGAGCATGCTACAGGGACACTGCTACATCGATGTTCATAGCAGCACAATTCATAATAGCAAGACTGTGGAACCAACCTAGATGCCCTTCAATAGACGAATGGATAAAAAAAATGTGGCATTTATACACAATGGAGTATTACTCTGCATTAAAAAATGACAAAATCATAGAATTTGCGGGGAAATGGATGGCATTAGAGCAGATTATGCTAAGTGAAGCTAGCCAATCCCTAAAAAACAAAT